CAGATATCAGCTAGCCCAATGGGGCTGCTAATTTGGCTGATAAATGCCCGTGCTGTGTGCAACTGCAACGCAGATCAACTCCCCCCATGGTGAGGGAGGGGGCAGGGGCAGGCACAGGCGTTGCCCAGCTGGGGTGGGTGGAGGACAGCCATCCCAAATTTTGCCACAGTTCTGCTCCCAGTCCCATGCTGCTGCATGATGCAGCCCTGGCTGAACACCCCACCTCCACCCAAGCACCAGAAAAATCTGGGGCCGTGGTGCTGCGCGGCTGGGACTGGAACTGTGGCAAAATTTGGGGTGGTTGCAGCCTCCTCCCAGAGATGCCGGAGCCCATTTCGAGCTCAGTCCCTGGTAAGAAAAGCCCCATGCAGTGCCAGCTCCACCCTGCAGCTGCAACCTGCTCTGAGCCACACACATCTGGGGGTATACGCCCTTGGCCTCCCAGGGTGCAAGCAGCAGCAGGAGCTGTCCCTACCCCATGACCCACGCCTCCATCCCGCATCCTCCCCCCCAGCTGGGCAGTGCCTGCCCCTGCCCCATCCCTCACTGCAGGGAGCATTGATCTGTCCCCCACCACCACACCTCTTCCACCACACCACACTTGCCACCTGGAGGAAGCTGTATTGGATATTGGATCAGTATCGGCCGATATGCCTCTTTAAATATCAGTATTGGCCCCCAAAATCTCTATCAGCACACCTCTAGTTATCAAGATCTCTGAGATTAAAGGTCAAAGGATACAAACTATGGTAAGAGCTACAGATTTTCACATCACCTTCAGTATGCAGGTAAAAAGGAACATAGTGGATTTGAAGGAACATACTTGTTAGAAGCATCATTTTCAAAGAGAGGATTCTCTTTTACGTTTATGCTGCTTAATCTTTGTCAAAGTTAACTGGGGTGCAATGGGAGGAGACTAATCAATTTAGTAAATATCACATTCCTGTAATAACTGCAGGGCAAATTTACATCCAAACAGAAAAAAAGTGCCTAGGTTGTTTAAATAATAACCTTTTTACAACCTCTGCATGTTGCCTTGAGATTTCAGGAAAAAGAAATGGGGCTCTGGAGATGCCAAAACTGTGGCAGTTTTCTATTTTCCAGTCAGCCCCACTACTTTCAAAACATGAATATTAAGTTGCCTGTCTCCATTTAAATTCTACCGTACCTTCTTCTCCCAAATAGGGAAAGGTTCAACATCTCCCAAACCAGGGAGAAGCCACATCCAAAAGCCCTGACAGTTGTATTGTAATTTGTTGGTTTTTGCTATTGCATTTACATAGGCAATTGAAGTCCCAGCTGCAGAGGAGAGGGCTGTCTGCTTACACAACAGAGGAAAAGTGGCCACTTGCAGCATAGTACCTCTGCATGCTCTGTTTATTTAAAAGGGCATTCCTCCATTAACTCTAAGCATTCAAGCTACCAAGAACAGTTCAGCTGAGCCTTCGTCAAGAGACAAGACTTCCTTAAGACATTTCATTGTTGGAAGAACAATACCATGGAGGGCCTGCAGGGGAAAGGAGCAAAAGGCAATGCTCACTATAGCTAAAGGAAAAGTTCAAAAAGGGGCATGAGGAGCAAAGCTCCTGACTTATCACAGCTCTAAAGCACTGTCAGACAGAGACAGCAATCATAGATCTAAAGCAGGGGTAGGCAACGTTTTTTGGCCGGAGTGTCGAAAAAAATCACGTCTACCTTGGAAGGTGCTGGAATGCTGACATGTCAGAGCCCAGAGTAGCTGTTTGCAGCCTCTCAGCTACAGATGGCCCAAGGAGACCGGTCTGCTTGCAGCAGGGCTCCCAGCCGCCTGCTGGGAGCAGCCTGAGCTCCGTGGCTGGCAGCAGCTGCTTAGAGCCTGGGGTGGCAGTGGCATGCCGAGCAAAATGGCTTTGCATGCCATACTCTGCATGCGTGCCGGGGGTTGCTGATCCCTGCTTTAAAGCATTGCCTGTTCCACCCATTTCTTCTCATTCTAATTGTACTTTCTGTAACTGGCCCCAATAAGTTAGGTGTCTGAAACCATACTAAAAATCATGGTGTAACTTGAAGGGTGAACCAGGCACAATGTACTTACTGCCTTAGTATCAGAATCAAAAAGTTCGCCCACACCTGAAGGGCATTAAAGAATGGAGATTCTCTTGGGAGCTATATCATTTTCTGCCCTAACAGCATGAATCCCAATGTCATTATTTACAGAATTGTTCTGCACAGCCTACAACTTCGTGTGAGGTTATTAACTCTATGCATCCTACCAAGTTGCTAACTCCATTTCCAACATGTAAACTTTTTCCATGTTGGGCTGAAACTGCTCATGGGCACTGGCACAGGGCTGACAAACGCAGACAGTTTACTTCATTGCTATATCACTAGAATGTAAGGGTGGTATAACAGGTTACTTTTAAACCACCATTATGGCACTTCAAACAAGGTGTTAACCTGTACCAACTGCCCTCTAAACCAGGGGTGGGCAATTATTTGCACCAGAGGGCCACTTAGAGTTTTGGTGAGCTGTTGTGGGCTGGGTCAGTACCTGCCCTGCCTCCCCCCAAAAACAGCTCACTAAAACTTCCTAGGTAGCTGTACTCTGCACTCAGCTAGGCAGCTGGGATGGGGTCATGGGTGGGCAGGGAGAAGCATCCAGGAGCGGGATGGGCAGGTGAGCCTGGGAACACAGAGCAGGTTGGCAGGGTAGTGATAGTGTGGGGCCAGGGCCTGGAGCAGAGCTGCAATCTGCTGCCCGTACATCCCTGATGGGCACCAGTTCCATGGGCAGGGGCACGAGGCGACTGGGTTGCAGCTCTGCCCCAGTCCCACAATCCCAGTGGGGCAGATGGGTCGGGGTGCCTGGGCACTAGGGCTAGTTCTGGCAGCAGTAGCCACTGGAAGGAGCAGCTATTGCTAGGGTTGCTAGGAAGCAAGTCTGACCACTGTTGCTGGCTACAAATGTCCAACTCGGGATCCTTAAACTTCTGGTTTATTAGGCGGATTGAAACACTGTAATGAAGTCAAATCATAAACCTTGGAGCTGGTCCCTCCCCCCCACACACATGCTAGCGAGCTACAAGAGTCAGGTATACCTATCCCACAGGCGCTGGAGTCTGCCATCGATGGCCAGTTGAGGCTTCTTCCAGCGTGGTGTTATTCTCCAGAAGGGGGTCACTGGCTGGTCCTTCTGGCTGGACAGGTCAGGTGCTGGTCAAGTTGGAGATGAAGAGGGCGGCACTGAGGGTCACTTTTCACTGCTTTTTATCTGTCCTTGGCAGACTTTGGTGACTCCCCAGTTTTCAGGTTTGCCCAATCCAGGGGTCGTTGACCCTCGTGGGACTTCCCCCTCGGTGGCTACTGGATGGCATCTGTCAGCCCCAGGGGTCATCCGCATGTACAGGTTTGGGAGTCTGTTGATGAATTTTGAATAGGGTTCTGGGAGCGGTCGATCTGGAGATATTCAGCCCAAAAGTTGGTCCCCGGCTTGCTGCCTGCTACTGTGTTACGCATTCAATCACTGATTCACTCACTCTTTCAGGGGCCCGCATGATACAGGGAAGCAGCAGTTTAATCCCTGCCCTTGTTAACATTGTTACAGTGTATAACTTACTTCTGAAACTAAACATATTTAGTTAAAAGGTGAGGAGTATAAAATATAAGCTACAAGAGTAATGCCATGGCACACAAATAGATAAAAATACCAAAATACAAGGGGAGATACAAAATACACACATACAAACTTTAAAACACAATTCTTTATCTTATACTGAAAGAAAGAGGAAGGAAGAAAAGGTAGAAGAAGAGAAACGTATCCAAAGAGGGATATGCAGGCAAGAGGAAAAGGGGGGGCTTTCTGCTACATTATTCCCCCTCTTGTCATCGGCCTTACACAAAGGTGATGTCACTATACTGTTTGAACACCATTGTTCAGCTATATAGACAGGAGGTGTGTCATCTTCAGACTGGGCCATGGTACTATTAGTTTGTTCCACGGAGATAAAAAGATCTATTTTCATTCCTTCAGCATCCCTGGATGCACCATTCCCAGACCTTTCCAATGCTTTGCTCCGCGGGCAAACTTTCAACCCTCCTAAATTCAGTTTCTCTGTGGGGTGGTGCTGGCCCCAAGCCAACACTCCCCACCACTCTCAAGGATGCAATCCCAGCACACCCTGACCACTCTGAGCACCCACATGCAGCTCACCAGTTTGCTGCTTGCTCTAGCACTCCATGTACTTGGCTGGCTTGCCACTGGTTCAAGGAGAATGGTTAAAAGTCAACTAACTGCTAACGAGCATAGGCAGCTGGCTTTTAGTGCTTAGCATGCAGCAGGCCCACTAGGTTTCAGCTTTGCCCTGGTGTGGCATGCATACAGGAAGCCTGCTGGGTTTCAACTCTGCCCTGGTGTGGCATGCAGTGAGCTTCCCAGGTCTCCGCTCTGCTCTAGCATGACATACATGCAGCAATCTTGGTTGGTCTCAGCTGTCCCAGTGTACCACAGCTGGGTTGCAGCTCTGTCCTAGTGTCAGTACTAATCCAACTTCCCACAATCCAATCAAACTGAGTGAAACATATGCAAGATTTTGGTCCTTTATTATTTTTTTTGTTACTCCTTTATCCGTACAGGGCAGCTGGGGGGGATGTGGTTGGCGAGTGGACCCCTCAGCCCAGTTACACAGACCCCTGCCAGCCTGCGCCCCACCAGTGCTGGCCCTGGGACACTGGTCCCAAGACATTAGTAAATTGGTCCCAAGATGGTGACCAGGGGGCAGGGCACCTGTCAAGGGGCAGGGCTACCCATGCGGCAGCTTGCTAAAACCGGGTAAGCAGCCCTCCACCCAAAATAACTGCCCGCCCCTGAACTAAGTCAAGAGAAAGAATTTGTTATCCAGAATGTATTTTATCATTCAAGGATGAACTTACTAGACATTTCTCACAGCCCATGGTTCTTGCTGGCTACACAGAGATAGTTAGCTATGGTCCTCCAGGCTGAGTCAAGGGGCAGTAAATGTTACCTTATTATTCAAGAGGGGTTTGATCTCTGTCAGCTGAACATCCTGAAGTTCATCCATGGCAACAGATATGGAGCCACGTAATCTTCAGAGTAGCAAACCAGTGATGCTGAAACAGAAGGATATGATAAAAATGACATTTTAAAATGTGCTTCCCCAAGAAAATGATAGTTGATTAAGTTTACAGCAGAGTTTCCTAGATACTTTCAAACTAAAACTTAGGAGTGCCTATACACATACTCCAATGTGCTGCAGTATCTCACGTATTCAGCGCCCCACATTTCAAAATGGCAGCAGGGGTGCTTTAACTAAAGCTCATCAAAAGAACTTTAGTTAAAGCACTCTCCACCACCATTTTGAAATGTGGGACACTGAATACACAAGACAGTGCAGTGTTTTAATTACAGAAGCTACCAAGAGCTACTCTAATTATAATGTACCCCCCCCCCCCCAAAATCCCAGAGCGCGTGTATAGGCACCCTAAGCGCCTGAAACCTCCTGCCATGTTTTCAGTGTTACAAAGTATGCCAGCAGTGAGGAGAGCCAAGTTTGTGCTTGGCTGAATCTCACAGTGTGGTCCCACACTGCAAAGGTCCCTCATTACTAAGAATGCATAACACTCTGGCCTCTCCAATAACAGAGACTGTGTTGCAATGAATTCTGAGGGCAGAGTTCTAATGCTGGCAGCTTCCCTTTTATGAAATACCACAGAATTTAACTTACCAGGGGGGTCATATACATACAAAATGCTTGGGGACGAGCTCATTTAAAGATATGGCAGTTTTGGGAACATCCAGCTCGACACAATGCAATTTAGATGCAATATAAAGGAAGGAACAAGACAGTATAAAGAAGGGAACAGTTAAGTTGTTGTTCAACTGGGATCAAGTCCCAGCAAGTTCTGAAAAAAAAAAAAAAAGAGCGACTTGAATGGTGTTTAGCATGGTGCTGCCACTACTGGCCAAGGCAATGTCAAGAGAGAGCAGACTAAGTAACTTCAAGCTCCTCAAGGTAGGAACCATTTTTTAATTTTGTTTGCAGAACCCCAGAAAAATGGGGTCCTGGTCTATAATTTGAGTTCCTTATGCACTACCCTTAATACGAACAACTCACAAAACAGGTGACTGGCAGTACAATGGCCAACAAAAATAGATGGTGACAAGTGCAAAGTAATGATACATGAAGGGAAATTAATTATTTATTAGGCTTTCCTGTGTTCTCCAGCTATAGAAGCTCAATCTAACCTTGACAGTGTTACTATTGTAACCACCAGGTTCAATAAATGCAGGCAGACAATGAATGAAAAGAACTAACAATAAACTGTACTATGGAGCAGTAAGCAACCTCAGCAGTCCATGAGTATGGTCTCTAACTCATTCACTTACACAGCAGTGGCAGCAGTCCCCTGACACGAAGATGACAGTCTTCCAGTTAAAAAGGAAGTCATTGGTAAATCCAGAGATAACGAAAGAGGCCAAATTGAGATCTGCATGTTCAACTGCAGATGTAGCAAACAGTTGAGAAAGGAAAGCCTGGTGACATCAGGTCACAGCTCTTTCTCTTTGTTTCTCTCATCTATCTGCCTCCATAGCGAGGCAAATTTGCTCAAAATGACTGATGCCTTGTCATATGTCATAGTGCCACTGGGGACAATTTAGCGCTAGAGTCTCACAGGTATTGATGTTAATATCTGCCCCATGAAAAACCCTGGTAGTTTATTACATTTACAGAAGACCTTCCTGGATGCACTCAAACTGAAACCTAAGAGCCTAGCCCTTAGCCTAGCCTAGCCCCGATATGCCTGCAGTGAGCGTTGCCAAGTTTGTTTGGTGATATTAACTAATTGCTTAACTCCAGACACCATCTCCCAAAAACACACTGCAGGAGTAGCAGCCAGGGACTTTTTTTTCTTTTTTAAGTCACCACACGAAATAAACATTTCCCCACTTCCCTTCCTTGCTCAGAGGCACATCCTCTACGTTCTCCTCCCCTGCCCTGCCCAACACTGTTGTTGTCCTCACTGACTCAGAGGCAGAGGGAGGCTCCAGACCTGCTCCCGCCTGCTTCAGCGACAGCCTCAGGCAGGTTTCCCTAATGCATCCATCTCCCAGGCTGGCAGGGAACACTGAGAGAAACTGGGCAGAGAGGGAGAACCCACCTACCACTATCCTGGGGCTAAGTCAATTTTGTTCCAAAAATGTAGAATCAGATTCTGATGATGAATGAAGGCTACAGGTACTGAATGGGTTTTGAGATGACAGCAGCAGCCTCAATACTATACATCAGGTGACAAGTAGTCCTGTAACAGTCACCTTATTAACATATGTTTACTACACTGCAGCCAGTAACCAGTTTACTTGCATATATGAAGATGTCACTGGAGCCCATCTAGGAAAAAGGTAGTTTCTTTCCCCAGCCAAAGCTTTCACTTCCAAAATTTAACTTTGTACATAAGAGCAAACAAGACCTACCACCCTATGGCTGACCACCCAGACTGGGGAAGGCTGGCTTAAAGTCTCCCAGAGAACCTAACCCCTCTTCCCGCTCCCTCTCACCAGAGCATCTGGTCAGGGTCAGCTGACCCTTTACACCCCACATATAAACCCCCTGCGCAGGAACAGGAAGAGTCTGAGCAGCAGAGTTCAATCTGACCCAAGGCTGCTTTGCTGTTCACTCCAGCTTGCTCTCTGTTTCCACTCTCTACTTGATCTCGCGGCTTTTCAACCTGGCTTGCTCTCCGACTCCATTCCCTGCTTGACCTCCTGGCTTCCTAACCCAGCTTGTCCCTAGATTCTGCTCACCCTTCTTGATCGTTGTTAACTTGGTACATGTATTTTCAAGGTTCCCACTTCATGAAATGCACAGAAGGAATCCTTATCATTAACTAGGGGTGTGCCAATAAAGATTATTAAGCAACCTTAATCAGCCAATGCCAATCCAATAACCAATTTACTTTAAAATGCAAGGCATTAAAGCTTTTTTTTTTTTTGGCAGGCTCCAGAAGCCTCCTGCAGTCACACGTATCAGCTTCCCGGTGCTTAAAAATGGTGGCAGGAGTGCTTGAAGCACAATTTCCTGCCCCCTCCACTGCAGCCAGGCTGGCAGGGGGCACATGGGTGGTGTGGGACTCCCAAGGGAAGAAGCAGGAGAGCAGAGAGCCCTGAGCCCACAGCAGATAGCCTGCATCCACCCCACGTACAAATCTGGGGGGAACACGCCACCCTCCCCCCCAGGAGGTGTGCACAGTGGCAGGGAGCCGCTGCCCCTCCCCTACCTCCTAGATGGGCCACCCGTGGCTCCAGCCTGCTCCCTGCCCTGGCCTCAGCTCCAGGTCCCATGCACCACCCTGGCTAGACAACACCCCCAGCCCCAGTGCCCCACCCCCCTTCCCATAGCCACAGGCTATGGAATAGGGGGAGGGTGTGAGCTATTACACCTCCTGCGTCTCGCCCCCAGCAACCCCAAGCAGGACTCCTTGCAGGCTAGAATGCTGCCCGCCTGCAAGAGGAAACCTGCAGTTTCCTAAGAGAACCCAGGCATCCAGGGGCCCTGACTCCACAGGGAAGAGGAAATCCAGGTGGTCCACGGCCCTGGCCAGAAGGCATAATTATTGGTAAACATTATTCGCTATAACAACCTAAATAAGCCAATAGCAGATAATGTAATTTCCCTTTTTATTGGTGCTGATCAAATAGGCAGTCAATATATTGGTGCACCTCCAGCATTAACCTTTAAAATCCTGCCCCAATATAATATAGTTCCTCCTGCAATATGATGTGCAGAAATGTGATACGATGCATGACCACTAAAATTTTTTTTCCAAAATCTTATGCTACCAGTAAAGGCTAAGACCACATCAGATTCCAGTGGTTAACAAAAGAGGATTCTAGTTCAAATTTAGCTTTGTCTTGTTATTACAGTCTACATCCTCACTCAACTTATATAGTAATTAAAAAAGGAAGATTTTTAAACACCTCTTGTGGTTCCTCACTGCTTTCCACCCGCACCAGTCCTATACACCTGCCCAACTTTGTGTCCTTGTTTTTAGCTGACATATTTCTTTAATAAGGTTCTGCAGAGTATCTTTCTAGAACATGCAGAAACAGACTAAGTTGGAATATGGCTAGGTATAACAGGATTCCTTCAATCCCCACTACAGGCAAAGGGTTCTGGTACCCTGAAAGGAGAAGCCACATGGGCTGGAGGCCAAGCCCCAGAGAACAGTATAAAGGAAGGGCCCCAGCAGCATGAGAGGCAGACAGGCTCTGCCTGGAGACAGAGAGCCATAGAAACTGACTGAGGTAAGCCTGGGGAAAACAGAGAGGCCTAACAGGGTGCAGGAAATGCCAGGTTGCTGCTGGGCCTGCTCTGGAAGATTGAAGCTTCAAGAGAAAGAAACTGGCCTGAAGAAGAAAGAACCCAGAGGGCTTACCAGATAGAAGCAAACCCAGGCTAAGAATGCAGCATACCATGTAGTCCAGCAAAGCCATAAGCCCTGTCCTTCTCTCCTACATGGAGTAAAATCAAGACATGGCAGCTGAAAGAACCAGTGACATCTGGGGAAAAAAAGTCTGGCTAAGGTGGAGCAGGGAATGGAGGTCACACTGTACCTGGAATAGGGGGAGGGTGTGAGCTATTACACTAGACCAGTAATGCCCAACCTTCTGGCTCTGCAGGTCAGATAAGTGGCATGGGGTTGTTCTACAGGTGCAATCTAATATGCCACCCCAACCCTATGCATCGGACCTGATCACACACTGGTACAACCCTATGTACAGCTTGATCTCCCACACCCAGATCTAACCACGAAGCAGCTCCATGTGCTAGTTTGACTGTACGCTGGCATAACCTGCTGTACAGGGACATATTATCCAGCTGATGGGGTTCCCTACAGGTCTGGAAATTTAGCAGCAGGGGAGTGATGGCTAGAGAATGATATTTAGAAATTTGCTTTTAGAAGTTGGCTTGCATTAGAATGATGGTCCAGGGAAACAGCAAGGGTTAACTGGTTTCTAAAGTTTGTTTGTGGTGAAGTTTCATGCTTTCACATTTTAGCATCTAAGAGTCCAAAGTCAGCATACAGGCAGGCACATACATCCTGGGAAATTA